ACTTTTACTTATTTTTGTAAAACCATGACTGATCGTGAAAAACGATGACATGACTACATACAAAAACTAATTTGAACTATGTTAAGTTGTTATCTATTGAATAAAATAAAACAAGAAAATACACTTTTAAATGTATTACATAAACTTAGAAAAAGAAACCTAGGATTTTCCCTCCAAGATGTTTCCGTCTTGCTTCTTCATGATCCATAATACCACCACTTGTGGTGAGAACAAGATATCTGAAATAAGATATAAAAATACCATTTTATCATCTATATAATGAATACTAATACATCATACTTCATTATATGATGAATATATTTAATATACAGAGGTACACCTCTCTGCATATACTAAAATAAAATCAATATGTATAACAAAATAATTTGTTACTAAAACTGATATAAATGTTTAAAATAGCACCCACAATGTTTACTAAGAGTGACATCATTGGGCCCCATTTTAATTTATTTTGCACAACATATCAAATGACGACCAACAAGAACTATTGGCGATCCGCGGTAGTTGTGCTTAGCATTTAATTGAGAGAATATTACATCTTATTATCCTAACTTATCAAGATGTATATACCTTTTTAACAATATCTATTTATATGTATAATGGGAAATTTAAGAACTTTATTGTTTTCAGCAATTCCAGCAATAATAGTACTTTAGGATACATTAACAAAATTATATTATCATAGACCAAAACTATTTTTTTCATTAAACAGCCAAGAGTATATTATTATTGTTTTTGTATTAAGGTTAAAAAAATTCTAATACCATAAAATGGGGTAAATAAAAATTGCAGGACTTTTTTTTTCTATTGAATTCCACCATACAAATAACATTTTAGTAAAATAAACATTTTTATCTTTTAAGGCAAATATTATCAAATTCCAAATATATTTCAATTTATCTGAAAATATACTTTAAAAATTATATAGTGATAGTGCAAAATTTTCAAGTGTTTCTAAATTCTTTACATTTCAGCCACTTTGTTTTTCACAAGATATATATTTAAAAGTAATATAATTATAAGTAATATATTTGTACTTCAGATTATATAAAAGTTAAGTTGTAATTATTGTTTAAAATAATTAAACAAATTTATATATAACCTGTTCTCTTGGTGTTACCGTGGCCTGTGTAAAAATATAAATAATAAAAAAACCCATGAACATTTTACACTTTCACACTACAACTTTCAAAACATGTTTCCGATAGATTGAGATAATTTGGCTTTGATGATTATTACTCTTTTGTAGCATATAAGAAACATGGTAGACAGAAAAAAAATTTAGTTTTCCAGATTTTTTATTCATGCTGCAAATCCTATTAAACCTTTTTACATGTTTTATAACATGTTTGTTCAAGTGATAAAACTATTAAATTTACTACTAGCTTGTCATTTTGCAATATAAAATTAAAAAAAAAACTTAGTAGTCTCAATCAATATATAATATTTATACATAAGCAAATATCTTGTAAATATACTACTAATTTTTGTAGTAACTCACAATATTGACCAAGTGTCTGAGATTACAATATATAGAACCGCCATTTGAAAATAATAAACCAAACATATACTCAGTTGTAATATATCTCTTAAATAAAGAGTACAAAATAATATTAAGGGTGAACTTTAACTTACCCAAACTGTCTTGACGGCAAGAGGTTGGTCCACCTCTCAATATCGTTGATTGGTACGTCAAAACGAGGAGAAATGACTCCACATTTGTTTAATCTTCCTGTAAGGTTTACAACTATTTTGCCGGCTCGGTGGTCATCTACAATCTCGAACTCACCGATGTACCCGTGCTTCATCATCACAGTCAAAAACTTGACAATAACTTTCGAACAAGGCCGAATAAGCACTTGCCTTTTGCCACGCTTCTCCGCATTGTGGATTGATTTTAATGCATCACTTAATACATTCATACGCACCATGGCTGAAAAATTAGTAAAATTTACACATTAACTTATAGGTTATCATACAAAACTTCATACTGCACTATCCGTCAAAACAAAATAAGCATGAAAAATAAGCTATATTTTAAGGATTATAACTAAAATATTACTTTGTATTTGTTACAAATGAAACACTTATATTAAATATACACTTCTGTATCATTTAAACGTAATAAAAATAAAGATTACCTAGGATTTAAAACCCGCCTCAACAACACAAAATGACAAGACAGTGTAAAAGAATATTTTTTTAATATTTTCTAGTGTTGCTACTTTTTCATGTCAGATTTACACAATCGTTAATGAGATACATAGACGATTCAGATGTACTAATACATTTTAGATTATTAAAATATGTTATATTATGTTATGCACACATTATGATAAAATAAAATAAGGGATATCTATATAGCGTATTATATTTTATTTGACTTTATTTCATTATAGATTGAGAATAACAGAAAAAGGTAACCTAGCTACACGTGGGCTCTACAGACGAACATAACACATAAAACCTACTTCAACACATTAGCTAAATTTTTGTGAAACAAAGAATCTTTTTCGATCCTGCAAACAGCAATAAGAGTTTATTTAATTCTTTTGCACATCTGTGGACCTTTGCTTTGGTAGCGATTGGCTGACCGACAAACGTCATGTTTAGAACTGTGGTCATAGTTTCATAGGTAATATATATGAATAGTTATAATACTACTGTATTTATAATATTATTAAATCTACAAAAAATATTCCAAGTAAATAAAAGCTATCCCCACCAATAGGTATAATAAAGTTTGCCTAACCCACATTAAATTAATCTCAATCTATAAGTTCTTTAGATAATTAATGAATTAAATAAAGAGTCTCCTGTGCTTTCCATCTCATTTACATTACAATAAGGTGTTGATAAAAAATACTCCTCCATTCCGTTTACACTCAGCGATATCATCAAGATCGGAAATATATTAACTTTATAATGTAATCTAACTGTATAATATAACTAAATCCTGAAACTAGATAAGAATTGTAAGCCTCTTAACATCGAGTAAGTCTATTTGTAATTAAAAAATCCAAGAAAAATGAAAGTTTCAAAATCCAATAATAACCATACTGCAGAAACAATTATGAAGTCAGAGTTTCATTAATTTCTTAGCTTTCTTTATTTCTCACCATCATATTATCCTTTATATATATACTCCATGTGTCGCGTATAAGTTCGCCATTGTTAAGCTGTATGCTCCAATTATATTAAAAATCAAAAATTTTATAATTTTCGTTACTAAAAATGTAGAAAATGGACGTGAAAATTATAAAGTGCAATACGACCTATTTGTGTAATAATAAAATTTATGGTAATATTGATTGAACTTTTTACCGGTATGTAAACGTCTTTTTTTTATGTCAATCTATACATATAATAAAACTGTAAAGGTCGAATGTCCGTACATAGAAAAAAATCGTTGAAAACCGAGTTAGGGGGATGTTAGAAGTGCAATAGAGCGCATCCAGATTTTTTCAAATATTTTATTTCTCTATCTGTTTATCTATTTGTCTGTTCATCCCTTTATCTATTTGTACGGGCTAATATCCAAAACTGTTGGACCCATTTAAATGAAATTTTTGCATGGTGATACCTTACATCTCCAGACATCATTTGACATACTTTTTATCGCGAAAAAATAAAGAGTTCCCATGAGATAATTAATAAACTATAGTAATTTACACAGCTTAATACATAACCTACTTAAGTCATTTTGACCTAAGGCACAGAGTGAAATGAGACGTCGTTGTTAATTTTATCAACCTTCAGTGATTAACCATAGACTAAGAATAAAGCTGTGTTTATGAAATAAACTAAGATATTGATATCTAAATAGATTGAATCTGTATATTGTATTATTAACTGTCTATCTAAGTAGATACTAATATTTATTACTATACATTAATTATTATACAATATATTAGTAGTAAAGTTAAGAACACAAAGCAATATTAATTGAACGTATTGGAAGACTGTAAGGCTACCCAGTGGATGTAATAAATAAATAAATAAATTAAATATTAAAATACATATATTATTTAGAATAGAATGTTACAGCAAACAAGTCATAGATAAGATACAGATAATATCATCATCATAATAGCTGCTAACTGTCCGCTACTAAACATAAGCTTCCCCCATAAGGAGAGATTTGCCAACAGTTGCCATGTTTTGGCAGGCGGTTTGGCAACCACAGTTAAAATTTGGTGATGTTTTAAGAGAAACGCTGCTGCCCATCCCTTGACCATTAAATTTCATCCACGGAAAAGGAAAAGATAGTCTATTCTATGCCGGAACCACACGCATAATGCATACAAATGGAGGAAAAGGGATTATTAGTAATGGGAAGGTTTTTTTTAATGAGTGGTAATGATATGGTAACCCCGCCCGCGCTATGGGTATACACCAACGAAGCACCAGTGAAAGATGATAGGTGAGAATGAATGCTAGTCAGTTGGGCCACCAATCATGGTGGGCCAACTGACTTGCATCAAATTCATCAGAATTCGACAAAAATTAACCATGATGGTTTCCAGGAGGAACCGCGTGGAGGTCGACCTGAGAGAGTATATTGCTAGCAATGGGTCTATGAGACCACTTTACTAACAATCTCTTTCCCCCTTAATGGGAAGATTAGTCCCCATTGATATCTATATACCCTATCAAATTGACCTCCACGTGATTCCCCCTAGAAACCATCGTGACAAATTTATCGTTGAACTGTTCACTATGGGCTAACTGACCTGCCTTTTTATCCTCACCAATCATCCCTCACTGGTGCCCCACCAGTGGATACCGATAGCGCAGACAATTATCAATCTATAAAAAAAAAGTGCACATAGATAACTAATATCCTAACAAAACAAAACGGATGTAGTTAAAAAATAGCAGTTTTTATTCTATGGTTACCGGAAGAACGAATGATTAGTAGATAATGTACGACGGTGAACGAAACGACGAATGATATTTATTTAATTTGCTTCGTTTGAAATGGAATTTAGTTGGTGCTCGTCACAGTGCTCGCTTCCCGAATGACCGTATGATACGATCTGAATTGTGTCCGCGTCCTTCAAGTGATTGTGAAATAAGTTTACAACAAACTTTCAAAGTTGAAAAGCTTAAAAATGTGTATTATAGAGAAAATAAATATGTGTTTAAAAATAGTAAAACTTTATTAAATTCGTTTTTACAAATCAGTAACATTTGAAATGACTAAGTTGAATAAACTTGTGAATGCTTACTTTTCCAGTTTGGTTTCTTTCAAATAAATCTTAATCGTACAGGTGGTAATTGAATGTTGTGGTATTTGAAATCCTAGCAACCAAATCAAAATGAATTTAAATATAAATTATACTAAGAACTTAGTTTTGAAGAAAATTTTGTCTAAATAAAAATGTAAAGACATTGCAATTGAAGTGAAAAAATTACGTGTCATGGAAGAGTTGGAGCGGTTGGTCAAAATGTTTCAATACAAGGTTTTTGGAACTTTTGTGTTGTTTATTGCTTGTATAGTGCAGAATACATTATCTATAGATAATACAGGTTGGTACCTTTAATTATTCTTATTAGCGAACTTTATTAAAGTTTTAACTAACATAGTTCCTGAACAAAAACCGGCCGAGTACTTATTATACGGTTATAGATAAGTTGCGGATACAAAAAGCGGCAATGGGTGCAGATGCCCCTAGACTCATGTCAAACATTCATTACTAATGAAACTAATACTACGATCACACTAAATTACTACTCACTACAATCACACTATACTACTTGTGCAACAAGACCTGTTATGATATTATAATGTGTGTAGATAGTAGATCCCTAACAGTACCAACTGGTCAGAAACTACACTTGCATATATACTAAAATTCATAAAATTAATTTTTATTAATCCTTATTATGTCCTTTTGGACACATTAAAATTTATAAAAGGATACATATTAAAATTCATAGAAGGACACACTACATTTCTTTTATAAATTCATACATTGGTTATTGAAAAAAAATAAGCCATAAGAGAAGGATAGCTTTTATTAAGTAAACTTCAGTTACTAATCTAGTAATATTTTATGCCAGTATTTTATTATCCATTAATATTATAAAATTGCAGTTATTATCTAAAGTAGAAAAATAAGAAGTTGGTAATAACAATCAATTTTATAATTTTTAAATATTCTGATTGATGATTGTCTTTCAATAATGAAAAAAAATTGTTAATTAACAATTTTTTTTCTGGTATCTAAATCATGCAAGACAGACGAAACCATGGAAAAAATTACAATAAAATATGGAATAAACTCTCGAACATAAGTTTCAGTTTCAGCCATAATTTAAGACAAATTCCAAAACTAAACTGAAACTCTAAATTTGAAATAATAAATATTTTGTTGAACATCACATACTATTTTTCCAATAACTTGTAAATGGGCCAGAGCTGAAACAAATATGAAATATAATTAAATAATAATAATACAAATAAAAAATGTATAATGTAACACTATAATATCAACTGTCGACCCACTGAAATTGCACAGAGATGTTGCATGTCTGTGCATCTTCTACTGAATTTATGGGGAGTGCTTTTGGGAATTGTTTGGATTGATACCTGTTGCTGATTTTCACCACCATACAACCCGCCTTAAACTAAAATTTCATCCCAACCATCTGGACAAATGGCGGTTTTCCACGTTGTGCATGGAACTCTTCCACTCTTTGGAATCAACTTCCAGCAGCAGTATTTCCGAACTGATATGACAACATAACCTTCAAGAAAAAAGAATATTCCGTTTTAAAAGGCCAGCAGCACACCCGCAATGCCGCTAGTGTTGTGGGTGATCATGGACGGCGGTAGTCACTTACCATCAGGTGAACCGCATGCTCGTTTGCCCCCTGTGTTGTAAAAAAAAAATGCATTTTTCAAGACACTTCCTTCCATGCACAACCACTCTTTGGAATCAACTTCCAGCAGCAGTATTTCCAAACCAATATGACATCATAACCTTCAAGAAAAGAGCGTATTCCTTTTTAAAAGGCTGGCAGCACACCTGCAATGCCGTTGGTGTTGTGGGTGATCATGGACGACGGGAGTCACCATCCGGTGAGCCGCATACTTGTTTGCCCCCTGTGTTGTAAAAAAATCTATCAGTATTTATTATTTTTTTATACTACTAATGTGGTAAGCATATGATCTTGATGGTAAATGTTTACCATCTGAAGTTCATTAAAATGGTCATCATGAACACATATTCTATTTAGCCTTATATAAAGAAACATATCTATACTATGTGACTCACTTTTTAGAACAATATAACTTCTAATTAATATGGTTTTAAATATTTTTTTGCAAACAGATAAGTAGTAAAAAAATATAATCAGGTTTATATTCGCATTATCCTTATTAATTAGGCATTTGCTGCACGACACCAGTAGTGTATGCATACCTGTAATTAAAAGCGAAAAAATATTATCAAGAAGTAAAAACTTATTGTAACAGGAACTCAGTTTACAAAAACAAGTTTTTTCTTTTATTAACTTTTTTTTTTGAGGAGATGAACGCATTTCTTAGTACCAATCAGACAAGTTACTTCATTTTTCAACAGTGTTAGATCCTTCAGTTCCTTTGGATTCTTTTTGTATTCATCCCTTAAAAACATCCATTCATTGGTCTTGTTTTGTATTGCTTGTCTTGACAAGCAACCTCAGCTGTATAAAGTTTTTATTAAATATCACACAATTAATAAACACATTTTACAGCCGATCGTACAACGACATAATTGTACCAGTACGTCTTTGACAACGACACTGTACTACAAACTGGCAGATTTGAATAATCTTATCTCCCGGCATATGTTCCCAACAACTGGGTTGTAGCCCTTGTGCATTAGTGTTGCCACTTGTGAGTTTAAAATTTTCCCTAGAGGATATCCCCCCCCCCCCCCCCCCCCTTACGATATACGAGTCATGTAGTATGGGTACTTTCCCTAATTAAATAATAATACAATAATCATAACAAGTAATAAATTTACTTTATCACACCATCATTTTAATTTCTTGGCAAGGATACTACCCACCTGATGATGGTAAATGATTATCGTATTTATTATAAGTGGCATTGCGTGCACGTTGCCGCCACTATATACTCTCTTTATCTCTGTTGAAAAACCATGCTGTAGTCACTTGAAAAAGGGACGGCCCCCATGGAGCTCATTCTATAGTAAACGTTTATAGGCTACACTAATCGCTTATCATCAGGGGTGAAAAGTATTGTTAAAAATAGAGGTCTATGAGCCCCATTGCTAGCGACGTACTGTATCAGGTGTGGTTACATGTGGTTTCTCTGGAAATCATCGTAGTTTTTTCTTCTTAACATGGTTAGTTCTTTTTGAATTCATCACAAAAGGCCAACTAACCTGCTTTCGTCCTCACCTACTATTTCTCATTGGTGCTCCACCAACGTATACTGATAGAGCTAACAAGGTAAAATTTTTACTCATTATAAAAACCGCATCGCATTATGCAGACGTAACCCTGCCTGCGCTATCGGTATACGCAGACGGGGCACCAGTGATAGATGATAGGTGAGGATGAAAGCAGGTCAGTTGGTCCATCGTGAAGAATTCAACAAGAATTAACCACGATGGTTTCCAGGGGGAACCGCGTGGAGGTCGACCTGATAGGGTATATTGGTAGTAATGGGGCTATTAGAATCCATTACTAACAATCCCTTCCGCTGAGCTGTGAATATTAGGCGAAATGCTTTTAGTGGCTTTCAATTTACAGTTGAATTTAGTCAACATTTTACACTATTTGACAAATCATCCTTCAGCCATAATTATATTTTTATATATGTATACACAATAAAAAATATATCATGCAGTTCCAAATCGATTTTAAATATAACTAAATATAATAACTTTAGTTTATTTCAGTTTCAAATATTAAAGTTATTACAAGTTTAACGCCTATACGTTTAATACCACTGAAGCACTTATATGCCGATGAACTCTATTTCTATAAAATCGTATAATTTACTTAAAATTTTATTTCAATAATATACCTAGTTACAATTACAGTACGTGGAGTTTCAGGTGTCAGTTCTCTTATGATTCGTTAGATATCGAATCCGTACTAGAATTTAGGGCTTAGAATGTTTCTACGATATATCCCATCATATCCATATAGATAGAGCGTCTATTATCAAAATACAATTTTTCGACTGAGCCGTTGTTTTTATCGTAATATACGATATTCTGAAAGTATAATATTGATAATATGAGTGTGAAACATTAAATTAAAAAAAAAAAATATGTAATAAAAGTTACTTATATCAAATTAATACCTGTCGCATTATTTAAAAAAATTTGACCTTTTTTGAAGTATATGTTACCTAATGTTGTACTGTAGATGTTATTGAAAAAAAATATACGTAAATCTTACAATAATGAAAGAATTTTTGGTGATTTCTAATTATAAAGGAATTCTAAAACAATTTATGTTTGTAATTCATCTAATTGACTGTTTTCTTCGAGTGTCCGTAAACTACGGATATATCAATATGCAGAAGTGTTAAAGATTAAGGAACTGATATAATTAAGAAAGATCACATCGTATGACTACAAAATTGCTATGCTGGCAGAGGTTAGAACTAAAACCCAATAGTAACAAAATTACAATTTTTTGAAAATTGTAAAAACCATTTATTCATTTTAGATAACTGACCAGTTCTGGCCCCATAACCACAATGTTAAAATCTTAATATAAGAAAAAAATAAAAGAACAGGTAATATACTTGTACATTTGTAAAAAGTGCGTAGGTTAGAAATTTTCTTATATCGGTAGTTAACAGTGTGTCCGTACATAGAGATGTAGGGTTAAGTGCTCTGTGGCTGGAAAACAACTCAATCAAGGACTTTAACGAACTTTGCTAACTTAGAGTGGTACTAAAATATTAAATGATGAATTAACGTCAAAACTCATAATTTGCTTGTGCATACGAAGGCAGTTATGTTCGTCAATTATTCAAGAAAACTGAACGACGCCACAATGTTGTTCCGGTGACACACTTTAGATCACTGTTTTTCAAACTTGTTTATACCACCGCCGTATGATGGCTTAATTATTCAAATCAATACATATAATAAAGTAGTAAATGGTAGCTGTCTGTACATGGAAGATATATAAGAAAAACTATTTGGGAAGGGGGGCTTTATAAACACATTAGAACCCAAAACAATGATTTTTAGAATTTTTGTCTGTACGCGCGCGCGAACGCTAATCTCAGTAACAGCTTAACCGATTTGAATGCGGTTTTCACCAATGCGTTGCGGTTTGCTCCACTTAGCGTGTAGTGTTTATTTCAATTATAAGTTTTATTTCAATCGGTTCATAAATAAAAAAGTTATATCAATCTAAAAAAATCACATATAAAATACCAGATCAGTTGAATTGGCTGAAACTTTTTTATTATATGTATAGATTTTCGAAAATTCTGTCTACTCATGTCAAGCTAGATCAGATCGCTAGTTTTCCAATATAACAATAACTTTAAAATTTTACACCCTTTGATACCGTCTTCTGTATCGGAAATCTCTCTACGATAGCTCCAACGATCCATTTTATTCATAAAACGGATCTATGAAACGAATTAATATTACATTTTGTAGTATAACAGTTGTTAAAATGTTTATTTCTAAATGATACGTACAGGACGGTATACTTTTGTTAGAATTTAGTACTCTAGAAGTACTATATCCTGATTATTAACACAGAGTATGTACTTTTATCCCATTTCACACGGGCAAAGCGGCGGTAATCAACTGGTGATGCATATACTAATCTATACTAAGTACTCGTGTAATGTGACGGATCCATATACTGCTTTACTACCTAGATAACAACATTACAATGCTATTCGTTTTGTATTGTCAGTGCATCTCTTACTAGTTCACAGAGATGCATTTGAATTTAGGTTGAATCACACAAATGGGTAAATAAAGATGAATAAATAAGTACTGAAAATTGGATGTATTTCAAACATTATATCAGTTTTTAATATTTAAAATATCTAATATTAAATATAAATAAACTCGCAGACACGACAAAATACTAACAATTTCAACGACATTTAAATATTGTAACAATTTTACAACATTACTTGGTCGTAGAAAGCCAGAATGTAGTAATATTTAACTCCCTCAGAACCTAGCTAGACTTAAAGGCAGGCGGCGAGAGCTGTAGGCGGTAAACATCCATATAAAGGCTCGCTAGTTGTGTCACAGAAACAGCAACAGGAGCTTCTTTCTATGGGAGTTATTAATACTAAAACATCTTTTAAGCTGAATACATACAGGCAATCAACTATCACACCATAATAAGTTCCAATAATTCTGAAGTATAGTATAATATGTATATGTGTGTATATATGATTTATCGATTAAATACTTTATTAAAATAACTATCATAGCTAGTTATTAAGAAACGAAGACATTTGATAATACTTTTTAATTGATAGTATTGACTGACCCCAGTGTAATCATTTCATTTTATATTTCCTGACACTTACAAATATGTGAAGCAATGTAATTTCTTTTTATGATTACCCAATAATTATTAGAGATAATAAGCCATTACGCAACTACAAATATATGACTCTTTCCTTTTTTTAACATCATGTAAACAGTCAAATAAAATTAAAGTTAATTTAACTTACTCCGTTTTTTCTAAAGAAATTACAATTCCGACGATAATTTCTTTAATCGTGTGAAAATTCTCCGTTTATATTGTTACCTTCCGAAAGGAACAAAGTAAAGATATGTAATTTAAACAATACCTAATAATATTATCACTACCTAACATGGATACACGAAATTCAATCCTACTAAAAATCACACTGTTCACGGTACACATTAATTTAACCTGTCAAGTGTAAATACAGCATTTTATAATTCATTATTTACGTACTTAAAAACAGAAACTGTTTCTAGAAACTCTCAGAATGCAAAACATAATAATTATTTTTATTTAGAGAATTATTAAGACAGTAAACATGTGTAAAATACTCATGTCTTAAGTTTACAGATTTATCTAGTTTGAAGCCTAAACAATAATTGTTATGGTATGGTCATGAGAGCCTTATTTATTTTATACTAGAGACACCACAACACCACATGTGTTCAAATTATACAGAATACAAAACAAAAAATATCTAAAAATGTCTGAAACTGGTATAAAAATCCGTAGCGTGTTTTAGAAGTTGAAAAACAGGGAGAGCGACTGTATTATATTTAGGAATTTATAGTAGTGGCTATTAAATTATCTGTGATACCCAATATGTCTGAATTTCCTTTCTTTACATATCGCCTATTTTCTGTATATGAATAACTTCAACAACAATTATTTTATTAAATTCTTGTAGTGTTGTAACTGTCAATGTCGTTAGATAGTCCAGCTGACAGGTCCCGGAAGGCGAGATGACATGTCGGGGTGACAGTGGCTATAGCGACCCTTCTTAATTATTCAAGTGACCCAACCAAATCGTGATTGTGTGGCTACCGACAATGCACGTGCTCCGTTTAACAAACATCTCTATTGCTGAATTTAGTTTAGCCTTTAAAATGACATGAATAATACTATGATCTTATCTCTTCAATAATATTTAATATTCATCCAATTTCTCACTATGTAGATATTCACTATCGTAATTCCAACCAAGCAGGAAATTCATGAGTTAAGATTTCCTGCATGTAGTTAGTATCCCAAATTATTAATTATTAAGTATAATATTATTATATTTATAATTAAATTAAATGCAGATACAAAATCCTAAACTTCATATCATAACCCAATATCATACTAACATCTTACCGTCC